ACCTCAGGTATAGAGGTATGTGAAATAGGTTTAGATGCCAAACATGTAATGATGATAAACCTTACATTTATTTTTTAAAAGATGTTTTCACAATTCCCACATTCACTTATGCTCTAGCCCACATGGGGTCGTGACCCACGCTTTAAGAGACCTGTCTCCAAAGTGGTGGTTTTCAGCCGCCATCCATGGACTGATGCCAGCCCACAGCAACTTTTTGCCAGACCTCACAAAAGGTACTGCCACTTAACACGGTGCTGTTTAACCACTGCCAGCCCACAAGTGTGGAAAGGCTGCAAGCCACTGTTCTAGAACAAGGGCTTATTACTTGGGGTTCACAGACACCCCTCCCCCTCGAGCTTCCAAGGGCCTGTGAACATTCCAAAATAAAATGCTGCCTTCAGGAGCAGTCCCATGAGTGTTTGCCAAAGCACAGACTCACTGCTTTTGTCAGTCTCAAAGTCTCGTCCTGACCCCAGAGGGGTAGACAGAGAGGAGAGGACACACCCGAGTGAAGCCAATCATCCCAACTAGCCTTGAGGTACTGTGCCTGGGGTGAGCTTGAACGGGTCTTATTCTCCCGGAGAAGAGAGGGTAAAATGAGCAGCAGACTCTTCCAGAAAGGATCGGCAGGGACCTTGGGTATGTGTACCAGGGAGCCCTGATGAGGGGGGGAAACCAGATGAGCATCAGCCTCAGAGAAGCTGGTATAGAGATGGGGCTGCAGGAGACTGAAAAAAAAAAAGCCTGGGCCTCCTTCCGCTAGAGGAATCCTCCAAGATTGGCTTCCTCCAGGAGATAGCATTTGATCTGGACAAAAGAAGGAAAAGGTGTTCCCAGGTGTTGGGAGCACCATGAAGCGTGGAAGCAGGAGATGATAAGTGTCTGGGACCTGCGTAAAGACTTGACTTATGCTGTCATGGAAAGGAGTGGGACATGGGCTCATCATGCAGAGTCTCTGTCCCATAGGCTGTGGGACCCTCTGCAGCATCCCAGGCCAAGGATTGAGGGTGGACTCTGGTCACTTAGCAGGCTGCAGAGGAGCCCACATGGGCTGTGAGCACCTGTTGTGCTTCTCCTGGGTTCTTTGAGCAGCCCCGCTCCTGTCTCCCTTTCCTGACTGGCCAGGCTAGAAGAGCTTCCCCTGGCTCTGTTGAGAGAGAGGCTGAAAGCCAGCCGCCAAGAACCACAGACCCAGAGCTAAGTCTGACCAAGAAAGGAAGTATCTTTGGGAAGCTAAAGCCTCAGCTCTGAGGTGGGCTGACTTGGAGGAGGACAAGGACCAGAACTGGCTAGATTTCACCGAGGAGGCAAAGGCAGCAGTGACTTAAAGTGCTGGCCTTTGTCTAGTAGACTTGCGTTCAAATCCTGGGAGAGCCATTTGCTAGCTGTGTGGCCTTGGGCAGATTATTTGGCCTCTCTGAACTGCAGTGTCTTCATGTATGAAATGGGAATGATTCCTTCCTCCAACACTATCAGTCGAGGAGAGAATATAATCATATGAAGAGTCTGGCACAGTGTGGGACACAGAGCTAGGGCTCTGTAAGTGGTGTTAGCAATAATTTTTTTCACTCTATCATCTGGGTTCTGCTCAGCTCTGTAGTGTCTATTACATATTGCTTTATTCAGTGTCCTGTGTCTCACGATGAAAGATCAGAGACGCCCCCACAGTCTTGTATGAAAATTCTTTCTTGCCCCCAACCATGGGCATTCAGCAACATGTTGCATGTACAGCAACAGGAAATAAATTTAGGACCTCCTGCTTACTCTGGGCACGTTCTAGGGCCCTTCTCTCCAGGACTCACAAACAGAACTGTCCTGCTCCTCAGTACATGTGGCAGCACTAGGGTGTTGAACTCTTTTTTGGGGAAGGAGTGGGGGTTTTGGGGGGGGATCAGACCCATCGATGCTCAGGTGTTCCTCCTGGCTCTGCACTCAGGAATCACTCCTGACACTGCTTGGTGGACCATATGGGATGCCAGGGATCAAACCCAGGTCAGACCCGTGTATGGCAAACACCCTACCTGCTGTGCTATTGCTCAAGCCCCAGTTTTGAACTCTTGACCAGACAAGTGCCTTAAGCCATTGAGCCATCTTCTGGATCCCATAAGATGATGGTTTGCAACCTCTCTCAGGTACTGGGGGTTTTCTGAGACTCCACAAAAAGATTTTGAGTCAGGGAGTTGGAGAGTAGAACAGGTAAGGTGCTTGTCTTGCATGCAGCAGGCCTGGGTTCTTCCCCCAGCATGGTCCCCCAAGCACCACCAGGAGTGATTCCTGAGTGCAGAGCCAGGAGTAACCCCTAAGCATCACTGGGTATGGCCCAAAAACCAAAAAAGTAAAATAAAATAAAAAATTTTTGATTCAACAAATAGACTTAATAGACAAATAGACTTAATGTGACTTGAATATTCTAATTTTAAAATTTAAAAAAAAAACTCTATACTCAGTATTGGATTCTGAAGAATGTTTTCTGTGAACAGTGTTTATTCCCATAATTTTTAGGCCTCTTACAAGGAACATGAATTACTTTTCTAATGCCAAAAGGCAATAATAAATGAATTCCTTTCCAGAAAATTAGCAGACTCCACCCCCCAAACCTACCCTGGCATTCCCGGGTGGTTAACAGACCCAAATTAAGAAACCCTGACCTAAAGGGTTAGACAGAACACACACACACACACACACACACACACACACACACACACACACACACACACAGAGTCCAAAATAAAGCTAATGCATCGAAGCAGCAGTGAGCAAACATTTCTATAAAGAGCCGGATAGTAAATGCTTTAGGGTTTGCAGGCCATGCGGTGTCTGTTATAACTGCCGACTCGGACGTGGGAGCCATAGCTGAACACAGCCACAGGCAACTGAATATGCCTGGCTGTGCTCCAGTAAAACTTTATTACAAACAGGCGTCAGGTCCGTTTGCCAGCCTCTGCATTAGAGGTTCCAATTCCAACCTCCAACCTCATTCCAGTCCTGGAACATCTGAAATGGGGGCTAGGAGTGGTTGGCTAATCCACCCAAGGTCACACAACTGACCAGGGCTCATGGCCACACTCACCAACCAACCAACGCTCACTGTGGCCTGGAAACTCAGCACTCACTTCTCCCTTGAGTGCCTCAGATCCTGGAGAATGTGGGGCACAAGAAGGTCAGTTACGAGACAGAAAGAGTGCAAGGCAGGTCATCTCTCCCTTCCACCAAAGAATCTTGCTGACTCATTGCAAGGGTTGGAGTAGGGTTCTTGGACAGCCAGGTTACCTCCTTTTCTCTCTTTTTTGTTTATCTTGGAGGTCTTATTGGGGGGAGGTGTCTTTCATTCTGCCAGTGTTCAGGGGAATCATATGCAATGCTGAGGGTTGAACTTGGGTCTCCCACATGCAAAGAATGTTCTTGGCCAACTGAGTTATCTCTCTGGACCCTATCTCCTTCTCTTCTTACATCAAAAAAGAAAAACCCAACCGAGGCCAGCACCAGGAGAACTGGTCAATGGTTGGAAGCTTGGCACAAGTGTGTGTGTGTGTGTGTGTGTGTGTGTGTGTGTGTGTGTGTTGGTAGGGTGGGGCAGGGGGCATGGACAAAGGGCAGTTAGGACAGAGAAAGAATCAGTATGATAGTAATAGTTAGAAATGATCACTCCGGACAAGAACTGAGTGCTGAAAGTAGGGAAAGGGATATACATGATGTTTTCAGTATCTCAAACCATAATGCCCCAAAGGAAAGGGAGGGGTGGGGGGGAGAGACAGAAAGAGAAGAACAAGAGAGAGAAGAGTCTGCCATAGCATAGTAGCAGGTGGGTGTGGGGGAGGTACAGGAGGGAAACTGGGGACATTGGTGGTAGGAAATGTACACTGGTGAAAGAACAGGTGTTGGAACATGATATGACTGAAACCCAATCATGACTAACTTTGTAACTGTGTATCTCACTGTGATAAAAAAATAATAATTAAAAAAAAACCTCATCACATCAGGAATCAAATTAATATGCCCCACTTCCAACCTCATGCCCTTTAGGAAGTAACTTGTGATCCAGAAAGGCTTAAGACTTGGCTAGTGGGAGACCCAGGAGATGGTTTCAGGAGCTTTAGGTACTCAGATCCTGGTGATTGAGACAGTGCCTGAAGGCCCTGGGGCCTTCCAAGACAAGGGTATATCTAGCAGAAGCTCAAGTCCATGGTCTACTGCCTGCTCTTTCTGTATTTCACTTACAATTCTCTCTTCTTTACTTCTTCCTTTACTTTGCACCACGGAAGTGGCAAACATACCTCTCTTTGTGGCTAGAGAGATAGTACAGCAATAAAGGCAATTGCCTTCCTCTCAGCCAACTTGGATTTGATCCCTGCACCTCACAATATCCCCCCGAGTCTGTCAGGAGTAGTGATCTCTGAATGCAGAGCCAGGTATAAGCCAAGTATGACCCAAAATAAACAAAAAACAAACCCAAAAAACAGCCTATCTCTCCTCTTATCCTATATTTTTTAATGTTTTTTTATTTGGCTTTTTAGGTCACACCTGGCAATGCACAGGGGTTCCTCCTGGCTCTGCACTCAGGAATTACTCCTGGTGGTGCTCAGGGGACCATATGGGATGCTGGGAATCGGGTCTGGTTGGCCGCATGCAAGGCAAACACCCTACCTGCTATGCTATTGCTCTAGCCCCTTCTCTGATCCTTTAATCCTTTCGTGATTCACCCCTAGTGGACATTGCTAATCAATTCCACAGTCTTCCACTTTCCAGAAGCCAATCCTCATCAATTCTAGTTGGCACAGGTTAAAGCCAATATGCTGTCCCCGTTCATGCTCTCTTTTCTTCTCCCCTTCTACTCAGCTCACTTGCCACTCTGCTTCCCCATCCCAAAGGGATCAAGTCACCTGCAGGGGGTTGCCCGGCTCTTCAGGGAGCCTCGGGTGCAAGTCTTTTCCTCAATAGAGGGACTGGCTTGCCTTTCCATTTATACACATTATGAATCTGTGCCTCGTCTTATCCTCTAGTGACACCAGGAATGAAGATCTACATTGACCCTTTCACCTATGAAGATCCCAATGAGGCCGTCCGGGAGTTTGCCAAGGAAATTGACATCTCCTGCGTCAAAATAGAGCAGGTGATTGGAGCAGGTACGTGGCTGGGGGCCTTTCAGGTATCATGGCATCAACCATGGGTGGAGAAAGGTGGAAAAACGACTATAGTGTATCCTTGTGGGACAGAAGCTAGGGTGCAGGACAGGAGTTTGCAGGAATCTTCCAAGGTCTGACGGCTCCAAATGATTCAACAGTCATCCAGAAAATTCACATCATTGAATAATGAGGAAACTAAGACATGGGACTGGGAAGAACTTAGACTGAGCTAGGTTGTGCTTTGTCCTTTTTCCTACCGTTTATCCCAGATTCCTCTTTCCATCTCCCCAGACTCCCCTAAATCCTCACTTCATGTCTAGCCAGACACTCCAGGATGGCCATCAAGGGCTTACTTTTCTCCCCAAGTATGGCTGAGACTCCTCCAAGTAGAATCCATCTCTGAAAAGCTCCTGGGGGTCTCAGAAATTGAAGTTCCAGGAAACAGGGAGGTAGCACTTCTACCTTACCAGTGACATCCTATCTGTCTTGGTGTGTCTGTTCCAGGGGAGTTCGGCGAGGTATGCAGTGGTCACCTAAAACTGCCTGGCAAGAGAGAAATCTTTGTGGCCATCAAGACCCTCAAGTCGGGCTACACGGAGAAGCAGCGTCGGGACTTCCTGAGTGAGGCCTCCATCATGGGCCAGTTCGACCACCCCAATGTCATCCACCTAGAGGGCGTAGTCACCAAGAGCTCACCCGTGATGATCATCACTGAGTTCATGGAGAACGGCTCCTTGGATTCCTTCCTTCGGGTAGGGGAAGCCAAGAGTCTCAGGGCCTGGGTGTGGGGCAGGAAAAGGGGCTGCTTCCTACTGTCCAAGCTGGAAGGGGTCTTGGCAGAAGGTCCAGTTCAGGGATGGGTTGTTTGCTGCCACTTTCCCTTACCCATGACAGCCACAGCCACTTTTCCTTACCCGTGACAGCCACAGCTAATCAGTGCCAGCTTCCTCTCCCTCTAAGCCCAGAGGCAAGTCTCAGAATCCTTCTCCATCCAGGAAAGCACAAACAAGCCATCAGAGCTGGCCTACAAACTGGAATCCCTTGTGATGCGTGCTTTTGCCAGTCTTCCAATATGCACAAGAGAAAGTTGAGGGAGAAGCAGAGTTTCCCTAGGATCATCCTGAAGTTCGAGGCAAGGACTCCTGGTCTATAATCCAGAATTTGTACCTGACTTGGATTTCCCTAACACTAGCTAGGGCAGGAGCCAGAGGGCATTCAGAGCACAAGACCATGACAAAAACATTTCTAGGCCTTCCAGGAGATTGCAGCCAACCAGGCAGACAAGCACTCTGCCTACATATGTATCAGAGACATGCACTGGGCTGATGCCATTAACATTTAGTGCCTAGTGTATACCAGGCACCTTCCTCATATGTACCTTCTTTTGAACTCAGTCCTGTGAAATGGGTGTCACTTGTTCCCATTCTCACTCTTGGATCACGTAACAGAAACTCCAAGAGGTTAAGTCATTTGTTCAAAATTGCACAGCTAACAGGGGGCAGAGCCTGTCAAAACAGCTATAGCTGGGCCAGAACAATTGTACAGTGGGGAAGGCATTTGCATTGCACAAGGCCAACCCAGGTTCAATCCCTGGTATCCCATAGGGTCCCCTAAACTCTGCCAGGAGTAATTCCTGAAAGCAGAGCCAGGGTTGTACCCCGAGACCACCAGGTGTGGCCCCCAAACAAACAACAGCAACATTAAAAGCCCTGCTATGTCTATTCTGAAGCCCCCTGTTCTCTCCACCATCCCGTGGGCCTCTAGTGGGTCTCTCTGACCATCATCCAGGTCCTTCCCACAGTGTTCCTATGCCTGCAGGGTGAAGTCCAATTCGAATCACTTATCCAGGGAAAGGCTCAGCTCAGAATTCTGCTTTCCATTTATTCTATGTTTCCCCCACCCCCACCCCAACTCCTCCCCAAGCAAAATGATGGGCAGTTCACAGTCATCCAGCTGGTGGGCATGCTGCGGGGCATTGCGGCGGGCATGAAGTACCTTGCGGACATGAACTATGTGCATCGAGACCTGGCCGCCCGCAACATCCTGGTCAACAGCAACCTGGTGTGCAAGGTCTCAGACTTCGGGCTATCCCGCTTCCTGGAGGACGACACCTCTGACCCCACCTACACCAGTGCCCTGGTAAGGGGGGAGGCCAGAGCCCTGCGGCAGTGGGACCCACCTCTGTGCTGGGCCCTGGAAGCACAGAAACTTCAGCCACAGCTTCTGGCCTCGGGGATCTCAGGCTGGCAGGGTACAGAGCCACCCGAAGTGACAGGGGCCTGGAGCTTGGGTAGCCAGAGGGATGCTGTGAGAGGTGGCGGCATTTCAGCTGGAAGCTAATGGGCCCAGTGGGCTTGGGAGATGCCATGATCTCAGGGCACGGTGTGACTGGGATTAGGGTCAAGGGAAGGTGTGTTGGCAGTAGTGCTGGAGAGAGAGGTGCGAATGGACTTGGGGGACCCTTGAGCGCCCCCAGCTCAGGCCTCTCTCCTGAATGCAGTTAGTGGGGGCCCACAGGCCCTCAGAGAGCTCAGTCCAGCAGAAGCAGATGAGGTGGCATTGCTTGGCATGCAGCTCTACGGAGAGGTGCCTCCATGGTGGGCTAGATGGACACAGGGAGGGGAAAAGAATGGGACAGCCTGAGAGAAGGGTTCAGATGGGGTGGAGGGTTCTGAGGGCAGGGGGTGGAGGGAGTGCATTGTACCCAAGGGGAGACCAGCATGTGTGGGTACTCAGAGGTCTAAAGCAGCAACATGGGGGGGATGAGGTGTCCCAGGACACAGTCAGGGAGACTGGGAGCAGAGGCCAGACAGGTCAGCCTCACACCCACAAGTCCTCCTCATTCTGTCCTCCAGGGTGGGAAGATCCCCATCCGCTGGACAGCTCCAGAAGCCATCCAGTACCGGAAGTTCACCTCGGCCAGTGACGTATGGAGCTATGGGATCGTCATGTGGGAGGTGATGTCCTACGGGGAGCGGCCCTACTGGGACATGACCAACCAGGACGTGAGTCTCCATGGTGATGGGCAGGGTCTAGGGTCAGGCATCCAGAACACACCCGGGAACAGGAGCAAGGCCTCAAATCCTGGGGTGGGGCAGCTCTCAGCCCCCTTAGCTGAGCCAAATATCAGCCAACTTTCCGCATAATCAGGGAAATCCACCACTTACACCCCCAACACAACCTCCACCTTGTCCACAAATCGGCACATCTCCCAGGTGCACTAGCCATGGGCCCATCCCAAATGAGAGCATGTGTCCCTCAGGTGTTTACCACCTGCTGGGGGCCAAGACACTAATTCTGGATGCAGCTGCAGTTATGAGGAACTGGGAGGAGGTGCTGACCTAGAGATGGTAGGTGAGGACCACCGGACAGCAGAGCAGGACTGTCCCAGCGGGCTGCCCAGGACAGATGGACTCGCACGGTGCTGGGGTCAAGACACCAGTGCTTCCACTAGCTGTGCTAGAGTCCAGAGGTGGGGTGAGAGGGGTGGTATTGGCCAGCGGTGGAGAGGAACATTGGCCAGAAACACACAGTATGATTCAGTAATGGGGTCGTGAAAGTCAGCCCAAGGAATCACGATTTGCAACCCAGTAGAACATGGCAAAACTTAAAGAAAAAGCTTGAGGGAGGCCAGAGCGATAAAATGGGGTATGGTACTTGCATCCCTCCAAGCCTGATTCTAACACACACACACCCATACAGCCTAGGACTTTCTGGCACTATCAGGGGTCACACACAGCTGAACACAGAGTCAGGATTAGCCCCTGAGCACTGCTGTCTATGACCCCAAGGCCCCACTCCTCATCCCTATGTCCCCCCTGAAAAAAAAGAGAAAGAAAGATCTTGAGCAGCAGATGACGCTCAGCCCAGGGCAGACTGAGGTCACAGATGGGGAGAACCCAGGTGAGCCCATCCCTGGGGGTGACCAGGAGGAAGTAGTGGCCATTACCATGGCAGCCAACCAGAGCTGGCCTACGGTGCACTGAAGGAGGAAGGGCAGGCCCGTGGGCACACAATCTTGTATAAGCTGCCCAAGCCCACCCCCGGTGTTGTTTCCAGGTCATCAACGCCATAGAGCAGGACTACCGGCTACCACCGCCCATGGACTGTCCAAGCGCTCTGCACCAGCTCATGCTGGACTGCTGGCAGAAGGATCGCAACCACAGGCCCAAGTTCGGCCAGATTGTCAACACACTCGACAAGATGATCCGCAACCCCAACAGCCTCAAAGCCATGGCGCCTCTCTCATCAGGGTACGGTCACCCCAGGCCCATCCGTCCGGACTCTGTCCCCCTCTGACACAGCTCTCTGCCCGGCCACCTTTTCCCTCCCGGGACCTCCCACTTACCCACCACAGTTCCTGTGCCCCGGCAGACACTCCCATTGTAATGGGGCTCAGGAACACACTAGTGTTTGCCTGGGGATGCTGAGGACCCAGAATAGCTGTTTGAGGGAGGAAAAGGAAGCGTCTTCTGCATGGTTGTGCAGACTCCTTCTAGAGCACACTCAGAGAGGGCCTGGGGCCCTCAGGCATGGGGCCGAGAGGTAGGATAGCAGGTGAGGCACTTGCCTAGAATGTGGCCAGCCCCAACTCTGTCCCCAGAACCACATACAGTTCCCTGAACACCACCAGGAGCAAGCCCCGAGCATAGCCAGGTGTGGTCCAAATACACCCCCCCCCCAAATGCACCAAACAAAGGCAGGACCAAGGTAAGAAAAAAAAAAAGATCAGAATCTTGGTTGGTGAATAATTTTCCTCCCACGCTCCCCCTTACTCAAACCTGGACCCTCTAACCTGTCTTTGCATCCACCTCAATTCATACACTCACACACACACGTACACACACACACACACACACACACACACACACACACACACACACTTGTGTCCATGCAGTCATCCCCACATGAATGACTACGCACACAGTCCTTGGCTTTTGCTCACACACACACATTCTCGCGTGCACTCAAAGGTGCTACTATATCCTTACCTCACACACGAGCCCCCCACTTGGCCAGCTCTGGGAGACTAACTTCAGCTCCAGTGAGCCCATCCATTAGATTTCTCCCTCAGGCTGCAGCCACCTGGCCTTGGTAGGGCAGCCATCACCACCCAGCACATTGCCTCTTCAGACCCCCCCTATCACGCCAGATCACGGTGGGGTGTCCGGCTATAGTTCTTAAGTTTGGGGCAGGCTCTGGCTCAGGCTCCTCTCCTGCCAAGTTCCGGAGGTCGGGAGAGCTTCACATTTGCTTGTCCCTGTTGTCCCTCACAGCGCCCCTGTGGTGCCCACTCCTGTCAGTCCAGACATAAGGCTCATCTCATGCTTCACCATCCTAGAATCTGTTCCCATGTGCATTCCCATGTCTCTGCACTGTGGAGATGCAGCCTGCACAGTCCCGTCTATAGGCACAAGTAGGGCAGCCTTTGGGGAAGAATGAGTGCAGGGTCCACTGTGAGACAAGCTCCTTTTCCCCTCTTCCTCCGTGTGGTATAAGGAGAATCAGCAGCAAGGAGATGTCTCCTCACCATGGCCTCACCTTTCGGGAGCCCTTGCAAAGACTGTCCAGAGAGCCCCTATTTGAGGCTCCCTGTACCTCCACAGACGTGTGTGCAGTCCTGGAGAGACTCAGGCGCGCGCGCGCACACACACACACACACACACACACACGTGTTTACCAAGATGGACCCAAAAGGCTTACAGGGGTACCTGTGCCCTCGCGGACCTCTGCCCTGTGCCAGCAGGTGCCCTGACCATCTCCATTGCCCACCCGTCCCCCATCTAGGATCAACCTGCCCCTACTGGACCGCACGATCCCCGACTATACCAGCTTTAACACAGTGGACGAATGGCTGGAGGCCATCAAGATGGGGCAGTACAAGGACAGCTTCGCCAGCGCCGGCTTCACCTCCTTTGATGTCGTGTCACAGATGATGATGGAGTAAGCCCGGCTGCCCCACCCTGCCTTCCCTTCGCCCCACCAAGAGGGGGAGGGGTGGACTAAAGCGTAGTCCCGCTCAGACGTGGGGAAACCAACAGCAAAGTGGCCATCGTTGAGGTGCCCTTCAGACTGACCTCCCCAGTCTGCCAGCAGCCTCCTGACTGAGGGACCTTGGGCAAATCTCAGGGACTCCTTTCAGCCTCTTCTTTCGTCTGTTAACTGGCAGTTATTAGGGGCATCTGCAGAGGGAGGGAGGGAGAGAGTATGTGGATACAAGCTTGTTTGGATTGAAGAGATGAGAGCACCATGGCATATGGACTCACAGCCAAGTGCTCCTGGCACAGAGTCAATGTGATGCACAATACCCGCCGCCTCCTATTGCCTTTTCCCTGCTCTCTCTTGCAGGGCACCCACCCACCACCAGAAACCCTGGCAGGACTATCCAGGTCAGAGCCCCCTTCACCCCCACATTCCCTAACACATGCTTCTCTCCCGCAGGGACATTCTCCGTGTCGGGGTCACCTTGGCTGGCCACCAGAAAAAAATCCTGAACAGCATCCAGGTGATGCGGGCACAGATGAACCAGATCCAGTCGGTGGAGGTTTGACGGTTGCCTGCCTCAGCTCACCTCTTCCTCCGGGCCCACCCCACCCCCCCACATGCCAGCCTCCCTGGTTCTCCGTCCACCGCAGGGCCTGCCACCCTCCAGGAGGCCACGGGCCACAGGAAGAACCCAGCGGTGTGCCTGGCTCGAGACGTCACTAAGAACCCGTGCAACTCGGATGATGGGAAAGCAAGGAATGGGGGTGCGAGCAAACAGATCCTGGGAGGGGCAGGGGAGACAAGGAATAGTTTTCAAAGAGGATTCTCATAAGGAAAGCGATTATTGTTCTTGGGGAGGAAAAGGGCCTGGGGGATCCATGCGGCTTTTCCAGAGACCAAAAGCAGTTTCTCTCCGGCTCCCTCCGGGAAGGTGGCCTGCTCAGAGCCCAGGAAACACTCCCAGGAAAACCTGTTTCAATCAGAGCGACAGGGGCCACCTTCTCGCCTGTCTCCCGACTGCTCTCATGGGTCTCACCGGCCGCCACGTGTCAGAGCGACACCCCAGGGACCCCTCGGGGCAGATCTGTTTTGTGGCCACCAAGCATTCAGAAGAATTTTTCTCCTTCGAGATTTTTGGACCCTCCAACAAGAAAGACGTGTTTCTCCTGCCAGCCCTGGGGGCTGAGAAGGGCTGGGATCCTGGGAACCCTGGAAGGCCCCGGAAGTTCCCCAGGGTCTACAGCAACACACATGTGTGCATGTACCACATCACGTGCACAGCCCGTCAGCACCCCCAGGATCCAGCCATGTGACTGCCACCAGCTCCAGCTGCCACTGAGGAGGGCACACGCCCCGTGTCCGGGTTTGTCACAGCGAGTCGTGGACTCGGGGATTTGGGTCGGGTAGATCTGGCTCGGGGGGTTGTTGGTTTTTTTTTTTTTATGACAATGAAGTGACTTTGACATTTCCTACCTTTCAAGGACTTGCTCCTTCTCCAGGAAGAAGGTGCTTTCTGCTTACTGACTTAGGCAATACACCAAGGGCGAGGTTTTATATGCACATTGCTGGATTTTTATATGATTTTCATGGACCCCCCTCTTCTCTTTGACTCCCCCCCCCACCACATAGAGTGCCCACCTGCTGCCAGGCCCCACCAAAGCCAACTGTCACGGGGCCTTCAGGGCTATTCAGAGTTGGGGTGAGACCTGCGCAGAGCCACGGCAGAAGGGGGCCGTCCAGGATGGACAGAAAGAGACGGGGGTGTTTTCTGAGGCTACCGGGCCCAGGTCTCCACTCTCCTTTGGCCGCCATGGACCCAGTCCCTCCCGGGCTCCTGACCACCCTGTGGGTGGCCAGACCTCCATTGGGCAACTGGGACCCTAACTCGGGCTGGGTCAGCGGCCGGGACCAGATCATTCACTGTGAATCCCAGTCCTCCGAGCACCCCCTCAGACGGTGTGCAGGCCAACTCCCACCCTCCCTCAGGGAGAGAGCGTGGCATCTCCCGCACCTTCTCCCCTCCGCCAGGCCTCTGCCGGGGTCTGAAAGCCTTGCCCTGGGAGAGGCGTCAGCCGGGTGCCCTGGCCCAATGCCCTCCTCTGAGCAAAGGCAGACACTGTGCACAGAACGACGGTTGGCGAACCCAATGGAAATAAATGCTTTAGTTAAAAGCCGCCCCTGTGCTGTGGAAGTTTAGAGACGCCCTGGGCACTCGCTCCGTGGCCCAGGCTGCTCTCCTAAGGGATGAGTCCCCAGCACAGGGAGACAGGAGTGGTTCAGAGCTGGCGTCTCTGCCCGCTCCTCAGGGAGAGCCCTGCAGGGCCTTGCCAGGGGAGCACACAGCTCTCTTGGGCCAGGGAAGGGGTCCAGATTTCAGGTATGAGGGAGCATGAGGGGCACGGCTACCCAGAGACCCCCCCAGTCCCCGGGACGCCCACCTTCTCGCGCATCTGCCGTGTGTCCCAATCCTCCTCCTGTACAGTCTGTACGCCTTGGTGGGAGGCGGCAGCAGGGCCGTGGAGGAGGTGGGGTCTGGCTGCACAGGGGAGGCCTCATTCTGTCTCGGGACCTCTTCCTTCCTTTGTCCAGGGGGGCTGGCCGGCAGGAGAGCACTGGGCTGCAGGAGACCAGCTGAAGGGTCTGGGCTGGGGTACATCCTGCCTGCACCACCAGGCTTCTGCCACTCACCTGTTTTCCAGAGCTCGAGATAGACAGGGAAGGAAGGGATTAAAGGGGAACTGGGGCCCCCAGAGGGGACAGCAGAATGAGCCACAAGGAGAGACTTGGCAAGAATCCCCCCCGACTGGCCAGCCATGGCCAAGCCACCCCAAAGATGCCCAGCACGGGTGGCAGCTGTCCCGGCACACAAGGTCACCTTCTGGAGGGAACTGCCCTGATGCTCTATAGATTTACTCTATCCCTCCCCTACCCCCAGCCTGCCCCCACTGCCCTGGGCCCCCCCAGGAGGCTGGCACTTGGTGCTTCCTGTCAGATGGTTTCCTGCCCTAAGCCGCTGGGCTGTTCCCCTAGCCAGCGCGTCTGCTCATCCACCTCCCAGGCCGCGTCCCCCGTGGTCCTGGGCCTTCATGGGCCCATATTTCAGAGCAAGGGGCCCTCCATCTCCACTTCAGGGTAACAGACATCACTGTGACCATCCCAGGCTGCCGGAAGGTGCTCCCTCTCCCCCCCTCACCCGAGCGGCTCCCCCACCCACTTCTTGCTGGCTTCTCGGTGGGGAGTGGCAGGCCACGGTGCCAAGCGTCTTCCATTGACTGCCCGCTCGTCCGGGCACACGGCTCCAAGCCCCCCGCTGCCTGGTTACTAATCCTTTCCTGGCTCATCCTGCCCCCAGTGCCAGCCTCCACCTGTCCAGCCGTGTGAGAGGCGCTTCCGGCTGCCCAGCACAGTTGGTGCTGGAGGGGACAGAGCTGCCGTGGAAACATGGGCTGGAGCACCGTGGAAATGGGCACCAGCTGCTCGGGGCGGGTGTGGTGAGCAAGCTGGTGGACAAGGAGTGCACCGTGCCCCTGTACCCACTGCCCCGGAAACCCTGTAAATGGGTTTTTGTTCCTGCCCTTCGGGCCTGAGTATCAGACTGGGGAATGATGCTCCAGATCTCTCCCTGCTTCTGGGGATGGCGAGGGTCTCAGTGCTGGACCAGAAGGCCATCAGGTACAGGACAAGGTAGAGAGGGGCCACTGGGGCCACTTCCAGGACTCTGGGCAGTGGCTCTTTACTAACCAGCATGACCTGCTGTTCACACGGCCTCAGTCCAACTTCCTGCATCGTTTATGGTTGTTCCCAACCTCTGCTGGAGTCTCTGCCACCTCCTTGTGTGCAGCCACGAGCCTTGCATCCCTCTCAGATGGGGGCTCCACTCCAGCTCTTCCTCACACCCAGCTGGAGCCCAGGAGACCCCAGACCACTGCCCAACCCAGTGCTAGGCCCCTTTAGTTCCAAGACTGGAAGCCTCTGTTCAGAAAGGTCATGTGGACAAGTGCAGGCTTTGGGGTGATGCTAGGAAAATGCTTCCTTGCTGGTGGGGATGGAGGGGAGCAGCCTCAGATGTGGGTCCAGACGAGTCCCTTCCTCCTCACTGAGCCACCCTCTCCTCCGTGTGAGATCAAAGGAGTGGACGGGGCGAGCAGGTATGCGGGGTGCTTTGTCCACTACCATCTGGGAGGAGGGGCTGTTTCCTTCCCTCCATCAGGCTCAGGGAGGCAAAGCAGGACTGTGCAGCCAGGATGGGGCCAAGTGGCATCAGGGTGTCCACACTCAAGTGGATGACAGGACGCACGGGGTGTCTCAGGCCAGTGGGTAAGAAAGGGGAGGTCCCGCTGGGCTGGAGGGGAACCAGGAGCAGCAAGCTGAAGAGACAACCAAGTGGAGAGAAAGCGGGAGGTCGAATGGTACCAAAGATGCAAGGGCCGACAGGGCGGGGTGTGTGAGGAGGTGGGGGCAAAGTGGGGTGCAGCCTCAGTGGGATCTTGAACAGCAGAGCAGCAGAGTGGGCACTGGGCTGCAGGAGGCGGAGTCAGAGTGGCCGCCCCCCGGGGAACATGGCACCACCCCTCTCCCACAGGAGAAAAGGCTCCGCACTCGACTCTGCCTCTGCCCATCCTTACCCATTGATGCAGATAATCCAAAGAGTCATGTCAGCCGCCCAGAACAGCAGGGCAGGATTCTGTGCTTACCTGATTCCGTATCTGGCTGCGCTCCACAGAGGTCCACCCCTTCTCCTCTCTCAGTAGATGGTGGGGGTGGAGGTGGGGGTGGGCAAGCAGTGCCCTGAGGAGGCAGGGCCCAGGGCTGGGTGAACAGGGGGTGGGGGGGAGTCGGGGGGTAGGGGAAGCCTGCAAGCCCAGGGAGAGCCCCCAGACCTGCTGGAAAAGTTTGGGAGACTTGGGATGCCGAGACCACCCAAGTGGTGTTAGGGACACCCCCCCCCATGACACATGCTCGAATACCCCCTCCAGTCTGCATCAAACTGAGGGTGTTTGTATGTGGCTCCCCGGAAACGCCTTGGCCTCTGTGCTGCAGGCAGGCTCAGGGACACTCCTGGAGACTTAGGAGGAGACTCCCAGACTGGTCTCCTGGCTGAAACTCTCCCCACTGGGAGTCATGGGTGCAGCCACCCCGCAGGACCGTAGAGGAAACACATGCTCAGGCTCTCTGCCTCAGCCAGCCGCTCCTGCCTTCCCCGCCCCACCCAGGATATTGCAAACGTGTCTTCTTGGCCCCCCTGTATGAGACTAGATTGGGGTGTTCAGTGCATTGGTCCTGGGTACTAGGCCTGCCCCTAGGTCCAGCCCCAGAGTCTTCATTTACTCACACCCTTCCTGGAGGGTCCTGGGACACTGAGATGCTTATGGCCCCTCACTCAGGGCCTACTCTGCCCTGACGGCTACAGAGCAAATGGCTGGCGGAAACAGGAATTAGGAAAAAGCAGGACATGGCCAGGTCAGATGCCCAGACTCAAACATAGATTAGAACCCAGGAAAGGGGTGAGGACTGGCCCGGGGGGGCACGGGGGGGGCTCATCCCAAGCAAGCTCTCAGGAACTGAAGAGCCCTCCAGACCTGGAGTGTGTCTGAGTTTAGCCTCGCAGCTTGTAGGCTGCCCCTGGAACACTGACTCAGCAAGCTATAGCAGGAACTGAATCCTTCAGAGGGGTCCAGCAGCTCACCCCAAGAACCCCCTATCCAAGGTGACAATGCAGGTCTATTTGCTCAACACCTGGTCAGGTGAATCAGGCAGAAGCCAGTGGGATAGGGGGCTTTCCCAGCTGAACCTGGAGCATTATGCCCCCCCACCTCCTACCCAGCCTGAGATAGGATTTCTTTCACTGGAGCAGGGTGGGAGTGATGGTCTGACCACCAGGGGCTCTGAGCGTTCAGGGATGAAGAGGAAGGGGGAGGTGAGAGCCAGGACCACATACTCT